ATCATACATCTGAATAATTAACCAGTTGGTTGAAGGATTATTATAACACAGAGAATGTGGATATGTAAACCAGATTAATGTAATACAATCCTAAATCTGAATTATAAACCAGTTGGTTGAAGGATTATTATAACAAAGAGAATGTAGATGTCTAAACCAGATTAATGTCAATACAATCCTAAATCTGAAGAATAAACCAGTCGGTTGAAGGATTATTATAGCAAAGAGAATGTACATATCTAAACCAGATTAATGTCGATACAATCCTAAATCTGAATAATAAACCAGCTGGTTGAAGGATTATTATAGCAAAGAGAATGTACATATCTAAACCAGATTAATGTCGATACAATCCTAAATCTGAATAATAAACCAGTTGGTTGAAGGATTATTATAACAAAGAGAATGTAGATATGTAAACCAGATTAATGTAATACAATCCTAAATCTGAATTATAAACCAGTTGGTTGAAGGATTATCCTAACTGAAAGCGAGTGGACACCCTAAAGGCAACTACATGTACTAATCGAAACGTACGAACTCCAGTTCAGTGTAGTTAGAGAATAATTAGGATCTGAATCATATCCAGCATACAACTGCGAAGTGGCTGCACCACTACGAAATGTGATGCTAGCTCTAAACGACAGGCAGCAGAACTGAAATATCTTTCAGTCTCTAAAATTTGTTGATAATTAATGCATGTTTCACAGTCATTCTAGTGTTAATAATGTTCCGGTTTAAACGCCGGAAGCCAATGAAATATTGGAAAAACTAATAGGCGTAAAATTTATAATATAAACCAGTTAACTCAAATGTTTTTTAGGTCTGTTTGTTTTCCAATGTTCGCCGGCTTTCTGTATTTAAATTGCAACTTTTAAATTATCATACTGCATATATATAAGTATCGTTTCATAGAAGGTTTTGTCCAGCACGACCGCTTAATTCTGCTATTGAACGAAACGTATAGTTTACCGGGTAATGACTTGTTGAAGACAAACGACATGCCTGAAATGCCATTTTTACACGCTTCTGATTTCGAGTCGCAATGGACAAATTAAGAGAAATGTTCTTTAACTTGTTTTGATAATAAGTTAACAATGATCGTCGGAGATGTGTGCACGAGATTTCCGGCTTTATCGTTTTTTATCTCATTATACTGAGAGAGAGAATTCATAAACTATACCTTTGTTTATTACTAGTTCATAAACTGTTAATTTACTGAACTAGTTTAAATAATTTTAAAAGATTTTATTTTGTTAAGCGTAAAGCTACTATTCAAAAGGAAGTGAACAATAATTGAAAATACACAACAACTGACTTGGGATTCTTCTCTTGGAACATGAAGCCGAAATAGAATTTTAAGTATTGTTGAAATCGAATTGTTTAAAAGATTTTGGACTTGAATTAGATTGTGACGCCCATATTGAATTATTACAATTCATAATACCAGAGTTTGTCCTGTCATCTCTGTCTACTTCAAGATACCACATGACTTTTTTACAGATTTAACAATCATAACCCGCGTTGTAAACTATGTTGACTTCTGTATTTTCTATTGATTTTCCAACAATAACCTATGGTCGCCATTTTTAATTTATATCGTTTTAACAACAATAACCACAGTATAAACTCAGTTAAAATTTTTAGTTTTGTATAGGTTTAACAACAATAACCACAGTATAAACTCAGTTAAAATTTTTAGTTTTGTATAGTTTTAACAACAATAACCACAGTATAAACTGCTGTCATGTTTGTATTGAGATATCATCGAGTTTATTCACTTAAATTGTAAAGATTTCTTAGGGATTCGGTTAACAATAACATACCAAAAGCTGAAAAATTTCAAATACATTGGACAAGTGTATACAACACTTTTCTAAGAACTCGATACAAAACAAATATCAGTAATCTCTCAACCGGCTTAGTCCTTAAAGTAAAGCTCGCGTGATAATCACCAGGCTTTACTCGTCTCGGAAGGAAACTGACAGGAAAACAGAATTGTATTGAACAGAGAGATGCACATCGGTGGACCATTTTAAAAAAGCAACATAATTATGATACTATATGTCTTTGTTGTTCCGTTTCTTTGGCACGGGTCAACGATAAGTTTACGGATTTACAACACAAAAATCCGGAGTTCGATCCTTCGCGGTGGATACAGCAGATAGCCCAGTGTAGCTTTGCGCTAAAACGAATGCACGAAAACGAGCTCAAAGCGGTACAAATTTCTTAAGGTGAAATCACGTAAGGGGACAAGACTCTCTTTATTTCGTGTGAAAAATAACAACTACGTGTTAGGAAGCGCTGAAATAGGTACTCTCTATATTTCGTGTGAATAATAACAACTACGTGTTAGGAAGCGCTGAAATGGGTACTCTCTATATTTCGTGTGAATAATAACAACTACGTGTTAGGAAGCGCTGAAATAGGTACTCTCTTTATTTCGTGTGAAAAATAACAACTACATGTTAGGAAACGCTGAAATAGGTACTCTTTTTAATTCGTGTGAAAAGTAACAACTACATGTTAGGAAGCGCTGAAATAGGTACTCTCTTTATTTCGTGTGAAAAATAACAACTACGTGTTAGGTACGTGTTAGGAAGCGCTGAAATAGGTACTCTCTTTATTTCGTGTGAATAATAACAACTACGTGTTAGGAAGCGCTGAAATAGGTACTCTCTATATTTCGTGTGAATAATAACATCTACGTGTTAGGAAGCGCTGAAATAGGAACTCTCTATATTTCGTGTGAATAATAACAACTACGTGTTAGGAAGCGCTGAAATAGATACTCTCTTTATTTCGTGTGAGAAGTAACAAC